GCCACTCGGCCGGCCCTATAACATGATTTATATGTATATAATATTATCTGTTGTTTCACTGAACAAACATTTATTAAGCACCTACTGTATCTTATTACTTTGTGCTAGAAACACAAAAATGAAAAAGATTATTCCTCTATCCTTGCCCTAAGGCATAATCTTTGTTGAGATGTCATTATATATCCCCAGGATTTATTTCATCAGCAGCTTGCTCTTACACTGCTTTTTTGAGAATATGCAATCATCATGTTAGTGTATAGGGCTTAAAACCCAGTTTTAAAAGCCTACTTGAAAGTGATATTTGTAGAGTAATTAAACTGAAAAAAGTTACAAGCAGAATCCTATGTATTGTGTACTCTTGTCTGTGTGTATTTAAAAAGATATATGTGTTTACTATATGTTCATAAATTCATAGAATACTTCTGGAAAGATATATGAGAAATTGACAGCACTGGTTGCCACTGAGGAGAAAGACAAAGGGATTAGATGGAGGGAAAATTTACCTCTTACCCTTTTGTATTTTTTTAGTCAACTACAACATATGTAACACCTGTCCAAATCTTTATTTTAATAAAGATTATGCAAACTTTTTAAAAATTTAATATTAGTATGTAACAATTGCTTATTTTTATTTTGCTTAAATAAAAATTACCATGGCCATAAAAATATATATGCCAGTATCAGCTTTGAATAGATAAGAACAGTATGATATTTTAGTGTGGGCTTCTTCATTTAATAATTAGGTCTTTTAAAAGATTTGACACATACAGAGTTTGACCAAGAAGACACAATCATGAACTTTTAAATCAGTGCATTTTAAATTTCTAAGGCATATTTTAACAATGCAGTTTTTTTTAAGCAATGCAACTTATTAATAAAAATGTAAAAATACAAGAAAATATGAGGAACCTACCACCCAGATATATCCTCAGTATTAGCATTTGGGTCTTTAACTTTGTTTTCTTGAGGGTGTGTGTGTGTGTGTGTGTGTGTGTATGTGTGTGTGTGTGTGTGTGTGTGTGTGTACACTTCTTAAAGTACTTTGCATACTGTTTTTTTCCCCACTTATAGCGTACTGAGAGTACTTTCCCAGTTCATTAAATATTGTTTTATATCATTATTTGTAGTGGCTACTTATGTATTTGCTGCTCCACTTAGCAAACATTTCTTTTTTTAAATTAAAAAAAATTTTTTTTTTATTGGGGAACAGTGTGTTTTTCCAGGACCCATCAGCTCCAAGTCAAATAGTTGTTTCAATCTAGTTTTGGAGGGCACATCTCAGTGGTCCATTTGTGGATCGAACCAGCAACCTTGGTGTTATGAGTACTGCGCTCTAACTGACTAAGCTATTCAGCTACCCGGCAAACATTTCTTAAGCACCTGCTGTCTATCCATACCTACGCTGAAACACAGAGATGAATAAGACCCAGCTCCTTGCCCTTAGGGAAGTTACTGCTTCGTAGGGAAGTGAGACTTAACAGGAAATTATTGTAGTATAATATGGTATATATGTGCTTACTGTAGAATGTCATGCATGGGAAACTCAGGATATAGGATGGGAGGATACTTAACTCACGGGGGATTTGGAATGGTGCGAACAGTAGTTCAAGTTCCATTTCACAGGTCTTCAAAAGCAAACAGTGGTAAGGGAGGCTGGAGGCGGTAGCCGTTTATTACAGTTCATACTTCAAAAGATAGGACTAGTTTTCTCCAAAGAACATTAAAAAAAAAAACAGACTCAGAAGCATACATTTGTCAACTGTACTATTTATAATATTGCAGCAATTCAATAATATATGAATAGTATACTACATAATTAATTACAGTAATAAGACCCATTTACGACTTGGGCCATTGATAGAATTGGTTTATTTTAAAGTAATGGGAACATCATGAAAGGGCTATATGATTCTTTGTGATAAACCATAATAACTTTATAAGAGTACATATTACAGAATGGTGCTTAAGATAGGTAATTTGCAATTGCTGTATTTTTTTATATTCTTAAAGAATTGAAGAGCATATGAATTACAGGGCAACTTATGGCACAGCAGTGATAAGATTTCGCTTCATTATCCTTGGGATTCTACATTATGTTGGCACTCTCAAAATGCTAAAAAAGTGACAAAGATGCATTTTGTCATGAAGAGTATCAACCCAATTTTCCGTGCTTATTAGACTGATAGATTCCAACTTTATATCTCATGCCAAGAATGTTTTGTGATGCCTTTTTAAAAAACCATTTGATAGTAACAGTTGTTGAGACATAGTTGGCATAAAGTTGTCTATTAGACTAGTAAACATTCCTTTGTTACATAGTTGTGTTACATTGTTTCCTTTTTCTACAGCTTGTTCTTCGAAAATGGTGTGAATTAATTCCTGGGGCTGAGTTCAGATGTTTTGTCAAGGAAAACAAGCTTATTGGTGAGTTTTTTTTACCTTTGAAAGTAATTATTAAAAGAAGACAAACTTCTGATGGAAGGAAATTTCTAGTAATTAGGACAGGGGTAACAACAATCAATGTTTCTCTCAGATGGTTCCTCTGACCAGTTGGTACTGACTCTCTGGAATGCTGTATTGACAAGAATTCTGAGGCCATATTCAGTTTCCACAGGACATGCAAGGTGTGATAAACAATACAGTGAATGTTTAAATAAAAAAACCAATTTATTACAGTAAAAGACACATTGCCGTGAATCCCCCTCAAAATACTCTCCCTCACTTCAAACACACTTATCTCATTGTTCTTGCCACTTTCTGAAGCAGTTCTGCAAGTCCTCTTCCGTGTCTTTAGTTGAGCTGTCGTGGCTGCCTTGATGTCCTGAATCATGTTGACTTTGGGGAAGGGCCAGAATTCTCATGGTGCCAGATCTGGTGAAGAAGGTGGATGAGGACCCATCGTAATGTTTTTATTTGAAAGAAATTGCCATATACCAGAAGCGATGTGTGACATGGTGCGTTGTCATGATGGAGGATGATTTACGGCACACTTTAAAACACACCTTCTCTCAACCGTAGCTCACACCCAACTGACTGCATTGAACAAGTTGAAACTTGTCACACACTGTTACTAAGGTTCGATTCGCTGCTTCCCTGCCTTTCCATTGGATGGCACTCAGCAGCAGCATTCACCGTATTTTGTGATCACAACAGAAAGGCTCCGTGTCACACATCGCTTGTGATACAGCAATTTCTGTTAAATAAAAACATTATGGTTTGTCTCATTCACCTTATTTACGAGATCTGGCACCGTGTGACCTCAGGCTCTTCCTCAAAGTCAAAATGATTGAGGACATCAAGGCAGCCATGACGGTGCGTCTAAAGACACTCACAAAAGGGGACTTCCAGAACTGCTTCAGAAAGCGGCAAGAACGATGGGATAAGTGTGTTAGAAGCAAGGGGGAGTATTTTGAGGGGGATTAATGGCAGTGAGTCTTATATAAACATTCACCATATTTTTTTATCACACCTCATAGTATTGTCAATTCGTCATGTTGGTGTGAATTCTGGAGATGAAAAGTGATTATCTTTTTATCCTTCCCTATTTAGGATGTGTCTAATATTACCTGCTTTCTCTTTGGGACTTTTCTAAGTATTACTGTCTATATACTGCTTTTAAGCATCAAGTTTTTAAACCTTTATTATCAGAGCACTGTTTATTATTCTAGCAAGAGGAAAATACGTGGACAAATAAGTGTATTACTTTAAAAGTCACCCATTTTCTTTCCTCTCAGGTTATTTTGTTTGCTATGGTTTATTCAAATTACAAAGCATCAGTTACAAAGTAAACATTTGTGCATTGTTTTTAAGAATTGCAATTATTTTGTGTGTGAGAGTTTTAATACATCTTAAAATTATTTCTGCTATAATATGTGATTACTTACCATTTTTATGCTTGGCAAGCCTGGTTCAATGGCAGATTTGATTTAAAAAAGATTAATCATGCCATAAGCATAACTAGATTTTATGCTTTCCTACTAAATTATTGAATATAATTTGTTTGTTTTTTTTGTCTGTGCATGTTTTCCATGAAGTAAAATTTGTCTTCAACCAAGAAAAGTGTGATTTGATGTTGACATTTATTAGCTTACCTAAAAGAAGCTTGGGGTGTTTGAATTTATCGTATTGTTAGATATTTCTGGAAAAGTTACACTGTAAGTCCAGCTAACGAAGGGCATCATATTGGCATGTGATTAAGAAATTGGATGGAAACCCTCCTTTCAGAGTAGAGACTTTCTCCTAGGCCTAGAGCAAATTGAGGGAGTTCTTTAGTGTATTTAATAGTCCCTTTAGTGTGTTTAGAATAATATTAGCAAGTCCCTCTGAAGAAGGGAATGTTTACTTTTCCATGGCTTGAAACATCAGGCTTGTGAAGCTAAGGCAGCATGTATGAACAAGAAAAATAGAGTGCCTCCATGAAACACAATATGAATATGGGTGACACATGACGAAGAGTATTTTATATTTTCCCAAAGAAAATGCAACAGAGTACCAATTTGTAGAGAGTTCATTGGAAACATCAGTGAGAAGTAATTTATGTGTGCAGGTTTAAACTTGCTTCTTTCATTTTTTGCATAATAAGCATTTTTATCACTTCGAATTCTTTCCATTATACTAAATAAAAATAACTACTATTTCTAAGTAAGAATGCATGGGTATATGGGACTGTAGGATTTACCTATCCATACAAACCTTTACAACTGATAAGTTTGATGTCTATAAGATGCTGAATAATGTACAGCGCAATCAGTATTCATCTGATTGGTCTTCTGATCTACTTTAATGGTTCTTTCAAGAGGAGATTTAAATCACATTTTGGTGTTTTTGAAAAGACTACTGTGTAGTAACAGATTATAAAATATTTTCTTGTCAGGTATTTCTCAAAGGGACTACACACAATACTATGATCATATTTCTAAACAAAAGGAAGAGATTTGCAGATGCATACAAGACTTCTTCAAGAAACACATACAGTATAAATTCTTAGATGAAGACTGTGAGTATTTTTTATTGACTCTGAAATGAAATGAAATCGTAATGTTAATCTTATTTCACAGTGGTGCATATTTTAAAACAGGATTCAAAACACCGTATTTTAAGCGTTTTACTGTATTATTATTTGGTATTGTTGATGGCTTGCATGTTAATTTTACCTTATGTAGTCAGAGTCCCTTTTTAATATTGAGATAGCTCTCTCTACTGCCATTTTAGATAGTTTATTATACATTTCAAAGGGTCTAGCTACAAAGGATAAAATACTTCTGTTATCAGTACTAAATTAGCTACATGACTGATTTACCGTCTAGATTTTTTATTTGAGTGATCAGATAGCACCAGTTATAGAATACACATTTGTGCATTGTTTTTAAGAATTGAAATTATATTGTGCATGAGAGTTTTCATGCATCTTAAAATTATATCTGCTATGATTTACCTTTTTTCTGCTAGCCAAGCCTGGTTCTATGGCAAATTTGATTAAACAAAACAAAAAAAAAGATTAATCATGCCATAAGCATAACTACATTCTATGCTTTCCTACTACAAACTTCATTCATTTCATTCCGCATTAAACAAGTACATTGAACCTGTTTATCATGGTGAACTGGTTGAGATGATGTCGGTGTTTGGTTTGAGTTTTTAAATATAAGGCTAAATTATGGCTGAGGGTAGAGAATAGGAAAACAAAATTATATAAACTAAAACATTGCAGGATGCTTTTTTTATGTTCGCACAAGTTTTGAGATTTAGAAGCATGAAGTCCTCAAGGTCAATTATGTTCTGCTGTTGGAATAACTAATAATAAAATGCATTTTAATTTTCAAAAGGAGGCTTAGGTCATGGAAATTGTGGTTATTAACTTGAAGTTTTTTTCTTTTTTACAGTTGTATTCGATATATATAGAGACAGTAGGGTAAGTAAAAACTGTATTTGTTTAGGCTTTAAAATCAGGGCTGGTTTAAGTGGAATACGTAGCCATTATGTATGTAAAGGGCCCACTGCTCAAAAAATATTTTCTCAAACCACCTACGGTGTTTGAAATTCACAGTGGTCAAGAATCTCCCATTAAAGTATACTTAACATTATGAGACACAATATCTTCAATAATGATGTATCAAGTTTAGGGATTATTAATTTAATAGATGGCAAAATGGCCACCTAATGTCCCACTTTCCACCTTTGTCAGGGGTCTGGGTCTGCTTAAAATAGTTCAGTTTGCACACTTACATGTGGCCAGGAATTTGTCATTTATAATAATTATTTTTAGTCAATTAAAAGATCCTTAGCATGATTTGAGTCACTTTTATCTTTAGATTGGAAATAAGGATTAGAGTAGTATATATTTACTCTTTTTTTTTTTTTTTAAGAATATTTTTTTGGGGGGGAATTGGGGGGATGGAAACAGTGCTGGGGAATTGGGGGAAGGGAAACAGACAAGTTGCTGT